TATATATATATATATATATATAAATATATATATATGTGTCTTGTTTTGTTTTTTTAATTTATTTCAGAGAGAGGAAGGGAGAGGGAGAGAGAGATAGAAACATCAATGATGAGAGAGTTATTGATTGGCTGCCTCCTGCATGCTCCCTACTAGGAATAGAACAGTGACCTCCTGGTTCATAGGTCAACGCTCAACCACTGAGTCACACTGGCTGGGCTAGACATTTTTTAAGGAAAGAACTGACTGTGAGCTATATTGTGAGATGTGGTCAGCTTACCCCCTGGGTAGCAGCAAGGGGACAGCACAATTAATCAGGGATCTCAGTGAATGAATCTGGTCAGGCCCCTCATTGAGGGGGGACACTGTTCTACTTTGAGATCTTGTCTTTGTGTTTAGGAATGTAAATTCTTTGCCAGTATTTGTTGAATGACCCTGTGTGCTTAGCATTAAATGAAAAAGCAGTGGGGACTATCCAAGTTGGGATTTAGGGACCAAAACAGGTTTGCCTCTCATGTAGCATTATTGTATTCTTAGACTTGCAATGCCTGGGATTTTTTGTTTATTTTCTCTTTTAGGCTTTTGTAAATTGGAAAGAGGCTAAATTGACTTGGAGTTTTTTCAAACAGTCTTTCTTGAAACAGATTTTGACAGAAGGTAAGTAAAAGGTCACCCTGAGCAGTTGGGAAACCATAGTATAAGCAAGGGAATTCCACAGAGCTCCTGGTCCCTTGGACCCAGACCATTGGTGTCTGCAGCCCCTGGGCAGAGGAACCAAGTCCAACTCCAAAACCCCCTGTTATATCATTTAAGTAAATTATTATAAAAGTATTGTATCAATTATAGAAAAATTGGAAAGTAGAGAAAACTATCTGTAGTGTCTATTCCATTCTAGCTTTTCATACACTTTCTTCTTTTGTTTGAACTTTTTAAAGAACCAGGTTTTCATCATTTTATTTTTTTAAACAATAAGATTCACCTGTACAACAGTTTGGTCAGCCTTCCAACTTTCTAAGACTTTCCAGTGTAAGAGTGACAGAGCTCTCGATGCAGAGGGCCACCAAGGAGCTAAAAGCACATCTAGTTCTGTTTATGCGCCTTGGTTTATTTATACCCAGCTTTAGTTCAAAGAATGAGATTTGAGGCAGCTGTAAGCTGCTGAAAGTAGTAGTTTCTCTCTGTATATAAGTGTCATATGTCTATACACCTGTATATCTATTACTGAACATATTTTTAAGCCTTTTCAAAAATTATCTTTTAATTCTAAAAATAATATAACTCCGTTACAAAAATTTGGGAAAATAAAAAGTTTCCAATAATTCTAGCACTCTACAACCATCATTATTATTATCTTATTATTTCCTGCCCCCCCATCTTTATTTTTTACTAATTATACTTCCAAATGGAAGTAACTCCCCGTAAGCCTCACTTGTCCCATCTAATGAGTAAGGGGTAGGGCCAGGAGGTGTCTAGGGTTCTCTGAGCTCTGAGAGGGCATGTCTCTAGCCTGAGCCTGTGACATTGCCGTTATAAAAGTGAAATTGTTCACAGGACTTCTGGGGGAAGTAAGGGTCAGAGGCTTCCAGAGAGCTGAGTGGAGGTGCCTTAACTATAAGTTTCTTGAGAGCAGGGAGGGTGCTGTTCACTTGTCTCCCCAGCACCCTCCTGGGCCTCGCACGTAGTCGGTATTCAGCAAGTATTTGCTGATAAAGAAATGTATGTGTCATGTGATTGTATATTGCGATAGTTCACCTTATTGTTAAAGTTTTGGAAAGAGCGGTTGCTTATATGCACTTTTTCCCCTCCCAAAGTTTTAAGAGCAATTTAAATGAGCTGAGGAATGGATCCAGACCAACCAATGTCCCTAAATTGGTTGTCTGTATTGCAATGGCTAGACATGTGTTTGTAGCAGCAGATGTAAGTTAGCCGCACACTCAAGCCTCCTAGCTAGGCCTGAAAGCGGCACCAATTGCTTGCTCGCTCCACGGTTGGGCCACCCTGGCCTGAGTGGCAGAGGGCCATAAGGAACTTATAAGGGCCTCTGTCACCATGGCTGTGAAATGAGGAAGTAGCTTGACAGGGACCCCCAGATTCTTTTTATCTCAAAACTATAGCTCTAAAATAGATGAAATCATTCATTGTAATAGCAAAAATGATTATGCTGTTACCTTCTGCCCCCACACTTCCTGAACACTGCGTGCCAGGTGCTGAGCACACACACGAGTGAGTAACAGCCTCGGTCTTAAGGAGCTCGTTCTCTCATCAGAGATGCACATTTGTGTGGTTAACTGACACGGAGCTGTGAGGACTGTGCTCAGAAACGTGAGCTCACCTGCCAGACATCTCTGGAGTGCCTGCTCATTTCCTGGAGCTCTGCTAGGGAACCAGGGACAGAGATGACCGAGACATGGTTCCTGCCCTCAGGGAGCTTACAGAGTATAGGAAGGAGAGGCCTACCGTGCCAGAACACGACTCCCCTGCAGAAATGCCATTCTAGGTGATGAGAATGCCAAGAGCCAGCCTGACTCAGAGCAGCTGGAGGGGCTAAAAGATGGTAGGGTATAGCTGAGGAAGACCATGGGATGGTGGGAGGTGGGGATAACGTTGGTGAAAGGAGGCCAAAAAGAAGGCTGAGGGGTTAGTTTATAAAAAGCTTCAAATGCAGAATTAAGGAGCCTGGACTTTTTGCAAATATTAAGGAGCCATTTAAAGGTGTGAAAGCAGGCCCGGCTGGTGTGGCTCAGCAGTTGAGCATCGACCTATGATCCAGGAGATCCTGGTTCGATTTCTGGTCGGGACACATGCCCTGGTTTCAGGCTTGATCCCCAGTAGGGGGTGTGCAGGAGTCAGCCAATCAGTGACTGGCATCATTGATATTTCTATCTCTCTCTCTCCCTCTTCCTTCCTCTCTCTGAAATCAATAAAGATATATTTTAAAAATAAAATAAAATAAAGGTGTGAAAGCAGGGGTTGACCAAGAAGCTGGATTTGCAGAAGCTGTTAGCGGTGAAGACGGGTTGGAGAAGCACAGATGCCAATGGGAGTGAGTCCAGCCATTGGTCCTGGGAGGACCCCTGGAGGTCCCGGCTGCAGGTGCAGTGACTGAGATTGTAGGGAGACAAGGGCCAGAGAAACTTGAGAGAAATCACTGCTTCTAGTCTCTCTCTGTTTTGTTTTTTTTACAAAGTTGCTAGGAGGTAAGAATTTGCTCTGTAGGGCTGTGGGCACTCTCCAGTGCTCTATCACCATAATCGCCAATGCCTTCCATTCATGGATAATAGGAAGATTCATGAAAATTGGGGATGGGGGAGTAGGGCTCTGGGCTGGTGTCTCCACCTTAAAGGCATTAGACTTAAATTTGAATCATGAACTTGGGCTCCAGAGCCTTGCCAGCATCCATGGAGTTTTCTTCACCCAGAGAGGAAAGTTTTAATGAGTCTGTGCACATAACCATGGATGTTTCATTTTACAGAATTCACACTCAAATTATCTGATTTCCCTTAAAACTTGGGACAATTATTTTCATTATTAAAATTTTAGTAATCTCCCCATACTTAAAAAAAAAACTTACCAGACTGGTTTTATTGATTTTGTTTTGTTTTGTTTCTAACTGTTTTGGAGATTTGCTGTCAATAAATCCCCCAGCACTTTCTAAATTGCTGCTATTTTGAGGTTATTTGGAATCAACATTAGGACAAGGAATGTTTTTTTAATTGATTATCTAATTTTTCTCCTTTGAGAATACTTGCCAGAGGGAAAAGTTGACAGATGATAAGAGAAAAGGAAACAGGAAAACAATGTGCATTTGAAATGCTAATTATTTTGTTTTTCTGTTTGCAGGGGAGCGATATGTGATGACATTTTTGAATGTGTTAAATTTTGGCGATCAGGGTAAGGTGAAATTCTGTAGTGTTTTAATTAAAGGGGAATACTGTTAGTAGATGCTTTCTAATATTTTTCTCTGCATTTTGATATGCTTAATGAAAATGAACCTAAGGATTATAAAAAGCGAAGGTTATAAAAACATGAATCCTGAAGATTGAAAATTGTAGGCCTTTATAAATATACACAGTGTACTGACTGTCCCTTCCCCTGTGGCTTGGGTGGCAGGTTCTCTGATGAGATCCCTCCTTACCCTGCTTTCTGCAGAGCTCTGACGTTCACATTGGGGGTGGGGGGTGCTAAGAGAAGAGAAAAGGAAACTCACCATAACAAAGATTCACTCCGTATTTATGTGGCTATCTCAATATTTTTTTCATATTTATTTTTGAATATAACCTTAGGGTAGTGGAAATAAAAATAGAAAAAATCAACCTGACACTTGTGACTTTTATAAAAAAGTGCTGGTGAAGGAAGTGTCCTGTATCTTGATTGTCATTGTCAGCATCCTAGTTGTGACATTGCAGTAGAGTTTTGCAAGATGTTACTCTTCAGAGAAACTGGATAAAGAGTACCTGGATCTCTTATTTCTTATAATTACATGTGACTCTATAGTTATCTCAAATGTTTCATTTAAAAAATTGAATTAGAAAAAAAGTTAATGGTGCTGAGAAAATTCAAAGAGGAAACCCACTAGGATTGCTGTTTCTTCCTTTTGTTTCGTAGGTGTGTATGATATAGTGAATAATCTTGGCTCCCTTGTGGCCAGGTTAATTTTCCAGCCAATCGAGGAGAGTTTTTATGTATTCTTTGCCAAGGTGCTGGAGAGAGAAAAGGATGCCACACTCCAGAAGCAGGTATCTTGGTTCTTGTGTCACCATCTCAAATGAATTCTCTTCCTAATTGCAAGATAAATAGACAAAAATGTGGAGCAGTCTGTTTCCCTCCTGTCTGATCTGAAACTTTCTTCTAGATTTTATTTTTCTACACACTCTGAATCCACAGTGGCAGGACCCTGCGCTCACTTCCTCTTTCACAGCCTTCTGCCTTTCTCACTGGCCGGCCCTTCCTTTTCAGCCTTTGTTCCTCTTTGTGACCTTATTTTTGACCCAACCCTCTCAGAACTCTCAATGGGTGTCCCCAGTGCAGCCCACACCCCCTCCCTTGGTCTAGTCTTAGGTGTAACACCCAAAGGTGAGCCAAGGGATGCAGAGACTGGGGCAAAGCTGACCTAGAACCTGGGGAGGGAAGGACCCGGTCATTCAGTTTCTCTCACCACACCAGTCGTTTAAGCTTCTTAGGGACTGTGAAGTGCCCAGAGCCTCATTCTGACCATGGGAATCTATATACTCCGGCTGGTAAATACAGAAGAGATTTTAATCCAGGAGTATTAAGTTGTATAAACATCCCTTTTTCTAAAACCATTGAAAATGTCTGGCTTATTTTAGAATTAAAAGCACACTAAGCTGGTCTCTTCTGTGTCTTAGAAGACATTTTTCAAAGCATAGTTTAAGCATAATATCTCACAGTGAGCTAATGTGGTTCTCCATTTGATTTAGGAATGTTTTCCTAAGTACACTGACAGGAACCTTAGGATGTGGAGATGTTTGTCAGGAGAAGCGCACTGGCAAAGCTAGCTAGCCATGTAAGAAGTTGCTGTATCCCATTTAAGAATAAGTATCAGAGGGGAACTGTCCCTAAGCAACTTTTGAAATAATCTATCCTAAGTGAGTGAAACACTAGTGAAACACTAACCCCCTGCGCTCCTGAAGGAGGCCACAGTGTTTCCCTTCGTTTACTCAATAACAGAAACAAACTCAGGCCACAGAAAAGCAGCGATGCCTCTCACCAGTTGAAAGAGTGAGCAGTTAAACAGCAAAGGGAAAGGCCAGATGGTGAAGTTTTTCTTTAGCTCGTGATTCATCCAACTTCCTTCCCTCTCCCCGGCACCAGGAGGATGTCGCTGTGGCCGCTGCGGTTTTGGAGTCCCTGCTCAAGCTGGCCCTGCTGACCGGCCTGACCATCACTGTTTTTGGGTTTGCCTACTCTCAGCTGGCTTTGGATATATATGGAGGGACCATGCTTAGCTCAGGATCAGGTATGCACAAGAGTTGCCAGATTTGTTCTAATTTCTGAACAGAAATAGGAGAGTTGTATGAAATTCAAGAACTTGTGCACCTACAGTTGAAATCTGTGTCATGTAGGAAGCGTTGTCCGTGGCTGGGGCTGTGGAAGGAGCTGTTCCCCTCAAATGAGATCGGACCAGCTCAGGGTACAGTTGGCGACTTTGGCACCAGGTTGATCAGTTCCCTAACCTCACTTGAAGAAGTTGTTAAGAATCCTTGGCTTGCTCTGGCTGGGTGGCTCAGTCAGTTGGAGTGTCGTCCCATACCCCAAAAAGGCAGTTCAGTTCCTGGTCAGAGCACATGTCTAGGTTGCAGGTTTAGTCCCTGTTCGGGGTATGTACAAGAGGCAACCAATCGATGCTTCTCTCTCTCTCCCAAATCAATAAATAAACATATTCTCAGGTAAGGATTAAATAAAAATAAAAAAAGAATCCTTGGCTTTCCTCTTAGGTCTAAACTGTGTTTTGCTGAGCTCTTTCCTGTGCTCCTTCTGGGGTGAGGGGGGAAGGCAGAGAGTAGGCTCTAATGAGCCTCCACTTGGTACTGAACACATCTGAAGATAGTAAACACCACATAAATCTTACGGCCTGATGCATAAAAGTCTTTGAAGGATAACCCAGAGCCATTTGCAGAGAATAAAACTGATGTCAGCAAATAAAATTGCATATATAATCCAGTGACCAGGTTTTTGAAGGAGAAAAGTATTGACTGTGTCGAACTCTGAAACACCTGGTACCCAGGCCACTGAGCGTCTTACAGCACCTGCTAGCCTTGGGGACGTCACAATTTCAGAATGCTCTGGGCCACAGGCTGGCTGTCCATTTGCAGTGTTTCATCTTGGGTTTAGCAAAAGTGCTTTTAATTCCTCAGGTCACTAGACAAGAACCCTGAAGACTTCTTTTTGCTGTCCCATCTCAACTTAAAGGACTTTGTCAATTGCCGTTTTATAAGTTCACTGGCATACTTGTCTCTACTGCAGTGAGCCCAGACTTTTGGTATTAGGAAAAGAACAAAGGTCATTATACTTGGAGAAACACCCACTGTGAAACCAGTGCCAGGGTTTACAGCTCCCTGGGGCTCGTGCTGTGAGAAGTACATTTCTATCAGGCAGCTGCAGGGAGGCCTCAGTAGGAAGCCATTAGTAAGTCTGTGTGCAGAGACTGGGACTCCGCTATTTCACAGCAGCCCTGCCCCTGTAGAAAGGTAATCACCAAGGAGCAGCCTTTAATGTAGTGCAATCCCCAGACATTGCCACGAGGAGAGTGCTGTCCCATCAAGATAATGTTCACCTGGTGGAGTAAGTAGTTATAGAAGATACATAAATGATTGTGATTGTGTATTCCTTTTACTCAAGTGAGATGCTAGTGCCAGTTTTGAGCTTTGATAATACATTTATCAATTAAAAGAGTAAATGTTGCCTGGCTGACGTGGCTCAGCGGTTGAGCATCAACCTGTGATCCAGGAGATCGGTGTTTGATTCCCTGTCAGGGCACATGCCTGAGTTGCGGGCTCAATCCCCAGTCAGGGGCATGCAGGAGGCAGCCGATCAATGACTCTTATCATTGATGTTTCTCTCTCTCTCTCCCTTTCCCTTCCTCTCTCTGAAATCAATAAAGACATATTAAAAGAAAAAGTCAGTGTTAGTTGATTTTTAAGGTAATAAATTCTGTCTCTAATGGTTTATGTCAGTCATTAAGAACTTTATACTTAAAAAGATATTCTCTCAGTATCATCTTCCTAGAGAAGTGAGTCTTGAAAATGTTCTGGTTTCTTAGTTTGTGATAAAAACATGTGGTTTGGGTGCCACCAAGGATCTTTAGGACCCTCATAATCTCTTGCCTGGCCCAGGGCTGTATCAGCATCACTGTCCCAGCAAGGTCTTCTAGCATTGTCTCCTCATTGTAGCTGCCTCTCATTCTGACGAAGCTTCGGCTCTCTGCAAAGCCCACTGAGGCTTCTGGTAGGGTCATTGTGTCTCCCAAGGGTACCTGCTGGCTTTCCTTCCCTCCTCTCCACTCCCCCTTATCTCCCAGCCCTGCTGCTGACTCTTTGGACCAGTGTTGCATATCTGAATGCCTTTTCTGTGCCAGAAAATATTAGCACCGCCACTCCTCCACCCCCAGTCATTTTTGCTCATTTAAATGAGCAAAACAACTTTTTCCAGAAAGTCTTCCTGAATTAATCAGGAAAGAACAGTAACTCTCCGTGGCCCAGCCAACCACCTTAGTTTTGAAAGTGGGACTTGAAACGCTGCTGTCCTCAGTTGCCCCAGTTGTGTATTGACCTCTGTCCTCACCTGTGAGTACCTGTGACCTGAGTTGGCCTCTTAGACCCTCCATCCTCTGTGCTTCTATTTCCAGAAGTGGGACGTGGACACTGCATTGACAGGCTTTCGTGTGAGGCACTGTGGTTTTGCTTTGCAATATTTGGGGTCAGCACTCTATATAATTAGGGGATTTCTAAGTGCCCTAGAGGCTATTCTCAGAAATCGTTCTCATACCTAGTGCTTCCATCCTTAAGAAAAGCACACATTTGCTGAACTTTCCTGAGGTTTCTCACGTTTCTCTCTTAGGTGCTTCTCTCTTGCCTTTCGTTTATTATTTTTAATCCTCACCTGAGGATATGTTTTTATTGATTTGAGAGAGAGGAAGGTGGCGGGGGGAGAGAAACATTGATGTGAGAGAGAAACATTGATCAGTTGCCTCTTGTAAGCACCTGACTGGGGATCGAACCTGCAACCTAGGTATGTGCTCTGACCAGGAATCAAACCTGCAACCTTTTAGTGTATGGGGTGATGCTTTAACCAACTGAGCCACCTTGCCAGGGCTCTTACCCTTTCTATTTATATTTATTATTTTTTAGAGATACGTCCTTTATTGGTTTCTTGATCTCCAGATTCCCGTTCCAGCCATTAAACAAACACAAGCTCTTGGTGTAGAAAGCAAACAGGTTAAAAATGACTTTAAACACAGAGGACTGGAAAAAATTACTTTCAACTTTTCTTGTTATCCTTAATTTTTCCTTCAAGTCTGTGACGACTTCCATACCCCGTTCCCCGGTTCCTTCTAAATGGTCAAGTAAAAGTTATTCTTAAAAGTGACAGGAAGTTTTCTCTGTCCTAATTTACCTGAGCCCTTTCTTTTTAAATTCTGTTTTTTTCCTTCTCTGTCCCTTTGTGTTAATTGCCTCAGGTTGAAATAACAATGTACCACAAACTGGATGGTTGAAACAACAGAAGTGTATTGCCTTATAGTGTAGGAGGCCAGAAGCCCAAAGCCAAGGTTTCAGCAGGGCCAGGCCCTCTGGCGGGTACAGGGCTAGAGGAGGCGTCCTTCTGTGCCTCTCCGAGTTTCTAGTGTTTTCAACACTCCTTGACTTATAGATGCATCACTCCTTTCACATTGCGGCTTCTCTGTGTGTCTTCACATCAACTTTGCTCTGTGAGTGTCCCTGTCTGTGTCCAAACTTCCCCTTGTTATAAGCACACCAGTCCTAACAGATTAGGGGCCCCCCAATGACCTCATCTTTACTTGAGTATCTCCCTAAGACCCTATTTCCAAATGATAGCACAGTCTAAGACACTGGGGCATTAGGCCTTCAATGTGTTTGGGGGGCTGAATATAATTCAACCTATGACACTCCTCAATTCAATCCATAGTTTAATGTTCGATCCAGGAATTTCCCAGTTTCAGCCTCTTTCCCCCAAATTGATTCAAAGCCCTTTTACTTGAGTCACTGTTTCACACAAGAGGTCGTATTCTCCATGACGCAAAGCATTTCATTATCCACCTCCAGACGGACCCACACGTGCCATTAGCTTTCAGTTACCAGGCGGGAGGTAGGTGTTGTGAGAAGAGCCCCATTTCTCTCTGCCAGAGAGAAGAGAATGGAGAGAAGCTGGAAGCACACTGAGCGTGGCCTCGAGCCCTCCCAGGGCAGGCCCAGTTCCTGCCTCCTCTCCGGGAGTGTCCCGGAGCTGCCGTGGGGGCCAGGCTACTTTCTGCCGCAGCTTGGGGGGTGAAATGCACGTGACACGATAAAATGTGGACCCAAGAGAGGGCCGTGCCAGGTAGTTTTTGTTGGGCATCAGGGCTGCCCTGTTAGTATGCCTTTTGTAACCTCTGACTGCCAGAAAACCGTTTAGGATCCTCATGGCACAGGGATCTCCATACCAAGCAGCTTTGGTAAACCGTGAATGAATTCCACATTGAGACTCTGGAACTTCAGTCTCCCCGCTCTCCCCCTTTCCTTTTAGTGGTTAAGTTTTGTCTTTATTGAGGTCTAATTTACATAAAGTAAAATTCTGTGCTCTTGAAATTACAGTTTGATGGGTTTTTTCCACATTTCTTATTTAAATTTTCTATTGTTGACACATTGCAGATGTCCTCCATTTCTGCCCCGTTGCCCACCTCCACCCAGCCTCCTCCCCGTCCCTTGACCTCCCACACTATTATCTATGCCCACGGGCTGTGCATGTATGTTGTTCAGCTACTCCCTTCACCTTCCTGTAGCCAGTCCCCGCCATCTCTGACGGTTGTCGGTCTGTTCCATGTATCCATGCCTCTGGTTCTATTTTGTTCATTAGATTCCACATATTACTGAGATCATATGGTATTTGTCTTTCTCTGACTGGCTTATTTCACTTAGAGTAATAATCTCTACGCTGTCACAGAGAGTACGAGATTCTTCTTTTTTTACAGCTGCATAGTATTCCATGTGTAAATGTCCCACAGCTTTTTTATCCACTCACCTGCTGATGGGCACTTGGGCTGTTTCCGGATCTTGGCTATCGTAAATAACGCTGATATGAACATAGGGGTGCATATATTCTTTCTGATTGGTATTTTGGGTTTCTTAGGATATATACCCAGAAGTGGTACGTTGGGTCAAAAGACAGTTTGTTCTATTTTTAATTTTTTAAGGAAATTCCATACTGTCTTCTACAGTGGCTGCCCCAGTCTGCATTCCCCCAACAGTGCGCTAGGGTTCCCTTTCCTCCCCACCCTCACCAGCACTTGGTGTTTGTTGATTTATTGATGGCAGCCATTCTGACAGGTGTGAGAGTGTGAGGTGATACCTCATTGTGGTTTTAATTTGCATTTCCCTGATGATTAGTGACGAGCATTTTTTCATATGTTTATTGGCCACAGTTTGAGGGATTTTGACAAAATATAAACCCGTGTAACCACCTTTCAGATTAATATGTAGAACATTTCTGTTACTCCAGAAAGTTCTCTTAGGACTTTCCAGCTACCTCTTCCTCTTCACCTCAAAGGTAACCACTGTTCTGATTTCTGTCGCCATAGGTTAGTATTGCTTTTAGAAAGAATTCCATATAAATGAAATATTAAAACATGGACACTTTTGTGTTTGGCTTCCTTTTAATTTTTACTTATTTATTTTTGTGTTTGCCTTCTTTCTCTCAATGTAAAGTTTTTGAGATTCATCCATGTTTTTACATGGTTCAGTAGTTTTTCTCTTTGATTGCTGAGTATTTCTCTGTATGGATGGCTCACAGTTTATTTTTTCTCCTGTTGATGCCAGTTTGGGCTATTATATGTAAAACTGCTATGGACATTTATGGTCAAGTGTTTTTGTGAACATGTGATTTTACTTCTGTGGGAGGTATACTTAGGAGTGCTATTCCTGGGTCATAGGTTGGCTATATGTTTATTTTATTACCAATTGCTTGGCTGTCTCTTGATAATGACCCTCTTAAACTGGGATCAATCCCATTTTTAAGGCTTCTAATCTTTTGTTAGAGGATTCTTTCACACCTTGTTAGTTAGCTATAGAGCTGCATTACTTTGTTATAGAAAAAATAACACTGTGGGCTGTGACTCTCCCTGCAGATTGTGGCTGTTCCATCCCTGAAGCTTTCTGCTGCTCCTGTTCCCCCCAAGGCCTTTTCTTCAGGACCTTTTCAATTGAGGTTCTGGTAACACGCAGGGACACCAGTGCCCTTGAGTGCTCCAGCTAGCAGGCCTCTTCATGCTGGTTTAAAAAGCAAGAGATTTGTTTGCTGGCCAGATAAGCTTTTAGTTATTAAGCAAGAGATCTGTGCATTTATTCATACTTGTCCTTTTGTTTTCAGCTGTTTATTTTAGTCAGTGCCATGGAATGCTAGGAGTCCTTCCAGATGATTAAGACCACAGGCGTGAGCGTGCATTTGCCCATTGACGATACCAGCAGGGCTTGTGGCCCCCCTCTGGTGTTCTCTGACCACCAGCCAAACCAAGGGTGGAAGTGGGCCTCCCATTTGGGCTGTGGCGTCTCAGTGGGCTGTTCCCTTACAGGTCCTGTCTTGCTGCGCTCCTACTGTGTCTATGTCCTCCTGCTTGCCATCAACGGAATAACCGAGTGCTTCACATTTGCTGCCATGAGCAAAGAGCAGGTCGACAGGTAGGTAACCTTAAAGACACATCTTTAATCATGGCCTTTAGCCAAAGTGAAGTCACCTGTCCATCTTTCTTTTCATTCTGGACATGCATTTACAGAAGGCTCTTTTACAGGCAGCACCCAGCCCCACCAGCACAGTGCCTCCCCCAGGCTCTCCACTGCACACGTACCATTTGTGGAGGAAGAAACCTGGGCCTGAAGGGTTATGTTAGTCCAGGTTTGCAGAGACGGGCACAAGACAAGCTCCACTCCTCCACCTCCTTGCCCAGTACTCCCATGGGTTACCAAGGAGCTTCTCTAAGATTCAAAGTCCTACCCCTGAGAACCTCGGATCTGTGACATTTCTCCTCAGAAAAAGGCTCAAATGCACATACGTGTTTTGCCACAATTTCTTCCCATCCATTGACACCAGGTCAGGACCTCTGCCCTGGAACCTCAAGCAATGGTTCTTAACACTGGTTGTGAATCAAAATCCCCCATGGGGCTTGTTAGAAATGCAGATTCCTGTCCACCTACTTCCACCACGCTCTCTCCTTCCACACCTACAGACTCAGCAGGCTCCTAACTATACATGTGTGTTTTCAAAAGCTCCTCAGTGATTCTGAATGAACTGCGGATTAAGAACCTCACACCCAGGATCATTCATCTCTTGTGTCCAAATACCAAAAGTAGCAAGGCAGTATCTTAAGATGTCACTACCAGAAGAGGTTGAGGAGAGGGCTCAGAGTGACGGGGAAGAAGAGAGAGTCGACGGGGTGGCTGTAGGTAATGGGATGAGTGGCCCACCTTATCCCTTTGCCCCTGAGGCCTGGTTTCCTCAGGGTGTTCTGCTGCCTTGAGTGCTGTCGAAAGCCCTCAGAGGCCCGGTGCTAGGGAGTGGGATGGGAAAGAGGAGTTGAAGAGTTGGGGAACCCTTCCTCTCATTCAGAGCGGCCTCTCTCCCCAGTTGGACTGCCTCACAAAGAATCCTGGTGACTTTGTTTGCTGCACCATAGTTTAGAACTTGAGTCTAGAGTGGCAGTCCCAGCCCAGACTATCAGATTCCCCTAGAAAGTTCTAGCCCCTCCCAGACTGATGGAACTAGAATGGTGGGGGCTTGGGCCAAGGAATCTTCCGTTACACAGCTCCAGGAGATTTGCAATGATAGCTGGGGCCTGAAGAACTGCTGACCCAAACCAGCTTTCACAGTAAAAACTACACTGAGCACTGTGATCCAATATATATTTGGTGGCTACAACTGAAACTTTCTGCTTTCACGAAGCAGTAATAGGCCAGTTATGTGCAAGACACACCAATAGTTTTTAATTCTGTTGTTTCATTTTTAAACTGACATGTCATGACCCATTAAGTTGATTTTCCAGCCTTCTTTTAGGTCACAACACATAGTTTTGAAATAGTGGTCTAGACATGGTGTTTACTTCAGTTAGTTAAATTTATAGCTATTAAACTGCTTTGAATCCATCCCTCCTCCTTTTTTTTCATGGATGGAAAGGTCTATTTAAGTTCAATTTTGAAAATGCTATATTTTTATTTGAAGGGTGCTTCTAATATGAAATAATTTTTAAAATATAATTTAAAATGTACTGAAAGAGGCTCTGAAGCATAGTAGAATGAACTCTGGACTAGCAATCTATCTCTTTGAAGGGAATTTTGTTAAAATAATCTTAGCATTAGTGTTAAGGGGAAGAATCAGCATTATGCCTGCTTAAAATGTTAAAAAATATCCCTTACAATCAAATCATGAGGAAATATAGATGGTTGCTGCTACAGTCAACATCCTTGACCATCCATCTTTTGATAAGCCTGATTTTAAGCCCAGTGTCATAGGGCCATGGAAAAATAAGCATTCATAAATAACTTACTGTTTATATTACCAAACCTTATAGAATAGTTATTGTTACTAATTTTGCATTGATTTAAAAAGTGGTATTTTAATTGCATCTTAAATTTTTCATTTATTCCTGGATTATGCCTTTAAGACTGTAAAAGTTTGTGAGTTCTAAGAAGTTCAACAGCTGTTATTCTAATGAAAAACAGTGTACCCCCTCATCATCGGCTCCTCCCAAGTGGCCACACCAAAGAAGCCACTCTGTCGAATTCATCCCTGCCTTAATTAGTGGCTGGGTTCATTCATTGTGACCATTTTACTTGGAATTGGGTGAGGATGACTTTGAAAGTTTGTGAACCTATGGCTTAACCTCTAAGGATTGGTGGTGTAGTAGACCTTTCTGAGATAGTTTTTTTTGGGGGGGAGACCTGACCAGATCACACATTTCTGCTGCTTTTTGGAAAAGAGTTCAGAGTACTGGTCTATGATGGGTCCCACCTCAGTGGCTTGTTATGAAGTAGGCCATTATTCTGATCATTGATCAGTAGTGAAGAAACTTCCCCTGTGAAGGTGTGGGCTTATGTACTTTCACTGCTCGTCAACAAAGACTCTCTCAGCCAGGAAACAGACAAATTCCCTCTGGACTTCTGGATGAAAGCACACCTCCCCTGTTGGAGTACAGTAGAGAGAGCGAGAGTGTGTGTATTGGGAGATATTCTTACCACCCGTTCTGACAAAGCATATCTGCCTAGCACCTTGAGCTTAGTCAGCTGAGGACCAGTACCTGGGTATTCGGGTGGCATAGTGGCTTTCTTACCACGCCTCACGTGCAGAACCTGGCTGGTGGCCTCTGAGGTTTCCTAACTTAGCTGACACAGCTTGGGGGCACCTAAGGGGCTTGGTTCCCTCAACAACTATGTACTTAGAATGCTTGCTGTGCACTGGGTGGAAACCAGATGCTGGAGAATTTTGTTCATGGCTGTATCACAAGCCTTTTGGAGAATGATGGCAGCTCTTTTACCTTTGCTGAGACTCAGTTTCCCTTGCTGAGAACTGAAGATAACTCAGTGACATGTTGCTTTGAAATCAGAGAAGCAGAAGGAGCAGTACAATCCACCAGTCATAGACTCCAAAGAGCTCTAGAGATGCGCAGAGAGAGGGATGTGTAAGAGCCGGGAACACTGAAGACGAGCCAGGCCTTGCTCCCTGTTTACATTTCGTTTTGGAGGCTGGCCAGTTGCTTTGAGTGCTGTCCACTGGCCAAGGTTATGGGGCTTCTGCATTTGAGAGGAAGTGTGTGCAGTGCTAAAGGTTAGAGGCCCGGGGTCAGGTTGGAGTGCTGACTCACCCCTTAGGCAGATTACTCAGGCTGTGCGTCTGGTTCCCTTGTCTGTAAATGAACCTGACTCCACGGGGCAAGGGAGCTTAGAGTCGCCCGCAGCACCCCCACAGTGCCCGCCGTAGAGGCAGCACTCGTATATAGCTGTCACCCGTGTCATAGTCTCATGCCTCACATTGAAGACTTGGGTTGAATAGGATTTTTTGTGTGTTTTGATCACAGAGAGCCACTTAAACTAACCAATTATTATCCTTAAAAACTGTAACTCTCTTGAGTCGCTCATTTTCCTTTTTGTTTTTAATCCTAACCCAAGGACGTGCTCTTATTGATTTGAGAGAGAGGAAGAGGGAGAGAGAAGCATCCATGCGAGAGCGGAACATCCATTGGTTGCCTCCCATACATGCCCCAACTGGGGACTGAACCCGAAACCTAGGTATGTGCCCTGACTGAGAATTAAACCTGTGACCTGTCAGTGCACAAGACGACACCCACCCAATGGAGCCACTCTGGCCAGGGCATGAGTTGCTCATTTTCTTACTCTCCTGTTCAGGGAAGCAGGGGCAGGGACAGTGACATTTCTGACTTATCTATAGAGCATGCAATGTTAGGAAAACCAGTTGGATTCTGGGAACTCGGAGGTGCTTTCTGTGACTTTATGTTCATGGCTACGTTTTTTGCAGGAGTTCTGCCTTAGGACAAGTTGCTCATTGCCCTGCTTTGCTTATTTCCCTCTCCCCAGGTACAATTTCACAATGTTGGCCCTGTCATCTTCGTTCCTGGTGTTGTCCTATCTCCTGACCCGTTGGTGTGGCAGTGTGGGCTTCATCTTGGCCAACTGCTTTAACATGGGCATCCGGATCACACAGAGCCTTTGCTTCATCCATCGCTACTACCGTGAGAGCCCCTATAGGCCCCTGGCTGGCCTGCAGCTGTCGCCAGTCCTCCTTGGAGCATTTGCCCTCAGTGGTGGGATTACTGGTGTTTCAGAGGTAAGAGTCCTTGCAGCTTCACACCAAAGCATTGGCAAGCTCTGCACTGTTCTCACTGTAGGCTTCCCCTTCCCACTCTGCCTGAAGCAGCTGAGCAAGTATTTGCCACCTCTGATCCCTTCCCCTAAGCCTCCGGGACAACCTCTTATGATAGCTGTTACCAGTGGGGACAGAGTAGACCCTCAGTACATAGTTGTCACACCTTTTGTCTGACTCAAAGTTGAAACAGTAGACCTCTGCTTTCCCTGGCTGCCCCAGAGGAAGGAGGTACAGATAGAAGGGCCAGGGCGGTGACGATGGTTTCTTCCCACAGGTCTTCCTCTGCTGTGAGCAGGGCTGGCTGGCCAGGCTGGGGCACGTTGCCGTGGGGGCTTTCTGTTTGGGAGCGACTCTTGAGACAGCGTTCCTCACAGAGACCAAGCTGATCCACTTTCTTAGGACCCAATTCGGTGTGTCCAGACTTGCTGACAAAATTAGGTGACCTTAGGGATTCACTGGCACCTGTGCACCTGGACCAGCTGTAGGAAGAACACGTTTCCTAGTCAAAAGAGGCCTGCAGAGGGGTCTGCAGTGGATTGAGACCAACCTGAGCAGGTGAGACACTGGAGAGAACCAGTGGACCAGACTTTTACTACCCATTCAAAGTCTCTATCAGGAAGGAGTTCCATTTTTAAGGAAAGACCAAAAGTTCTCTTAAAATAAATACAATTATTTTTTATCACCATTTTGTTCTAAGAAGCATTTTTCCTTTTGATTAATGTATTAATTCCTTTTGAGTGTGATTGACCTGAGGAGCTGCACGCTCCAACAGACTGCACCTTGGATGTTAATAGTCATCTGGCGCAGAGAGACGTAGCCATTTTCCCCTTTGCAGGAATGTGTGATTTACACTGTAAAAGAAGGAAGGAACGCTGATGTTAGGCACTGAACAGTAGTGACCCTGGATTTGTAGCTTTTCCCATGTGGGCCTGTGGTCTGGGTTTTTAGAGAAGGAGAAATGTTACTCAATAGAAATCTAAGAAATGAAAGCATGAAGTCTTTCAGCTCACATTTCCCAAAGTTAACCAGGGGAATCCCATGTCATCTTCACCACTGTGTCCCTGGGACAGCCCATGCCTTCCTGGAGTAGGTGCAAGCTGGTCAAGACCCCTGGCCTGGCCTCTTGCAAGGGAATTTTGGAAGAAACTGTGATCTAAAGTAAGCTATCTTGTCCGCGAAGGACACGTTGCTTTGCAGCTGCTGTGACTTCCCACGTGGAGATTGTGCAGGTCACAACTAAAGTGGAGTAGATTTATGTCCTTTTCTTCAGAATAAAATAGGGTAAATTCTATGTGGCAAGTACCACAGGCCCTTCCACCGACGCATTACTTCCAGGACTGGTCAGTACACCCAAATTCCAGCCCCAGGACAAGAGTGGCAGGCCTTTGGGTGTGGTCCTCCAGGATATAATGGGCGTCCAGGCTAAAGCTCACCCTCTACACCCTCCCTATATCCGACGGCGACATCACGGGCATTGTTCATAGGCAGCGAAGCATTTTCTCCTTTCATTAATACACTAATTTCTTTGCCTATGGTTGACCTTTGGAGCTGCATGCACAAACTGTGCCTTGAATGGTAACAGTTATCATTGAGCCCTGACATCTCCACCCCGCCCATGTTTACACCCTGAGAGGGGCACACACAGAAGACAGCCCTCCCCCCATGTACCTTTTGGTCTCTTGAATGGGTGGAAGTGGTCTTTAGTCTTCAGAATTTCCTGCTCTACTGCCACTGCTGCCCCCTATCCTCTAGGACCATGTCACCCACCCCATGCCCACTTGACCCCAGGCTCAATGCGTGGTCCCTGAACTACCTGCCTCAGAACCCCTGGATTGTGATATAAATGAAGGTTCCCAGGACCTACTCCAGACTTGTGGAATCTGCATCTCTGGGGGCAGGGTTCTGGGATCGGCTTTTTTGTCAAGCTGAGGTTGGCACACCCATTGTCCTCATCAGTCTTAGAATCCAGGACAAGTTGCGTGCATGTTCACAGTGTCCCTTCTCTGCTCCAGGAAGAGAGCTGCTGTTGCCCAAGTAGCACTGCCAACTTCTCAGCTCTTCGGGGGCAGAACCACTGAGGTCTCTGCTCCACCCTCCAGCGTGACAGCGAGTGCTGCTCTCTCATCTTTAGTCCCCATGCAGTCCGCCTTCATCCTAGAAGGATTTTTGGATGGAATCACACTTTTGTCTTTAAGTGCCACTTAAAATATAGCGAGGTTACCTCTCCATGGAAACAAGCCTCTAAAGCACATGCTTTTATGAAATGAAAAAGCCTTTGGTGGTGACAGTAACAGTATTTTTTTCTGTGCTGCTCAGGCCACACACATGTGACTTCAGAACTAGCCTCGGAGGGGATGCTGCTGCACTGCTTCAGCTTACTTGGAGGGACTCCTGGCTCCAGAGGTGCTGTGTCTGTCCCCCTCCCTGCCATTTCCCAGCCTCAGGCCCTTCCTCCTGTCTTTTTTCTTTTTAAAATATTTTTGTTGATTTTTTTTAGAGAGAGAGCAAGGGAGAGGGAGAGAGAGAAACATTGATGTGGGAGCAAAACGTCAATCAGCTGCCTCCTGCACAACCCCCACTGAGAATTGAGCCCACAGCCTGGGCATGTGCCCCGACTGGGAATCAAACCATTTCAGTGCTCGGGACGACGCCCAATCAACTGAGCCACACTGGCCAGGGCCTTCTGTCTTTTTCCTTTATTCATGTATTCATGTTGCTAATTGCATGCCAATACCCTGATTTAAAAATCAATAAATTATTCATATCTTCAGCTTTTTCTTTCATACCCCTCCTTTTTCTAAAAAGGAAAAAAAAATTCTTAAATTTCAAAAGTAAAATAGACAAGTAGCTTTGAGTCTGTGAACCATTTCTGTACCTCACAGGGTCCTTTCTCCCTGCATTGACGTTGTGACTGGATGGTGATACCATCTGAAAGGGGGGATTTCCTGGCCTCTGCCGTGGAGCCTTCTGCAGTTATTCACTGCTCCTCCCTTCCTGCCCCAAGCAATGTTTCTCATTGTCGATTGTACTTTTCTCTCCTGTCTTCTCTGGCCTGGCCCTTGTCTTGGTCATGTTTTTAAAGGAAGCAGTGTGATTTTTAGGGAGTCCAGGATACCCCTTCCCCCTTATATCTTTCTTAATTGGTGCTTGAATTTCCTTTCACTGAAATCAAAGTCTATTATTCCATAATTGGAGAGGAGACTGGAAATTCCATTTCCCCAGAGAAGGACTTAGTGATTCATTCACACTGAGATGTAAAATAACCCCCTCAGGGATTCTTTCCTGAGCAGCTTGGATGTTGAGGAGAGACAGGTGCTAAAAGCATCCAGCACCTGAAGGGGAAGGGACTCGGCTGAGAGGCTGTGCAGGCCCCTGAAGGTAGGAGCTCTGAGTGCTGCCGTGTGGCCTCTGGGGTGCATAGAACTCAATCACGGGGAAAATGAGGGAGAACGTGATCCCTGGCACAGTCTTGGATGAGCCGTGACTGAAAATGGGACAGGCCTGGATGGGGACAAGAGAAGGGAAGGAAGCTGGGAACCCTTTCATATAACTACAAACCCCTGCTCCTAGGGGAGGCCAGGCCAGAGGCAGAGGGGTGAGCCATTGGCATTGGTGGCCAAGTGAGGAGAACTCCACCAGGAGCTCGGTCTAGAGAATCTTTGGGAGCTGACCCACGGGCTCAGGATGCTACTTGCTCAAGGTTCCCAGTGGCTCTATGGGAGCGTTCTAGAAGGCCAGCCAGAAGCCAGGAGGCCATGGAGCTGTCAGACAGGACCCAGTTTGTTAGGAGGATAAGCTGAGGCGTAATTGTCAGGGGTCCCCTAGAAATGTCTTGAAGACAGTAAGCACAGAGAACTGGAAAGAGCAACCAAACAAGAATTCTACTCTGAAACATCACTGTTTGCCGACTCTTCCACGAGTCTCCAGGAAGGAACTGAGACTGAGGTATTTAATTTGGAAATGAGACTTCTGAGCCAATCAGATGCAGATGGAAAATGATTTGTTTTACTATTACTTACCATATCTGGGAGAATTAGTCCTTAATGCTGTAAATGTTTCATTTGCTAGTTATCTTTTAGGGGTAGCAGAAAAGATGTTTTATTTGAAGAACTTGGGAAGGAAGACTCATTGTTTTGCATCATCAATCTGACCCCAATTTCTGTAACATAATGTCTCATTATTTAGTGTCATTCATTTTCCACCAGCTAGGGATATCAAACTAAAAATGGAAAAGTGGGCTTCTAACGTAGTTCAGCCTCCCTTAGGGACCCAATGAAGGAAGTCTTGTAAAACTTCTCAGTTATCCTCGCAGAAGTTGCTGGGTGCCTGTAACTTCTCCCCCCTTCTTGGGCAGTGAGGCTTAAATCGAAAGTGCTAGAGGTGAGCTGGAGAGGGTTAGGTCTTTCCCTTCATAAAATAGGTCCTCAGCAGAGTGAGTGTACCCGGAGCTTCGTCCCCACCCCTGCAGCTCCTGCACACTCACTGTGGAGACCACTCCCCAAGCCTGTCAAGCCTATCACAGAACACCATGCTGCACGCTGAACACAGTATTTAGGGGTACAAGAGCTGTGGTCAGCTAATTAGCACGATGCTATGTTTTATAGACATTTAAGCATCGATTTTGAAGCTCCATGTATATTTTGGAGCCAGTAAATATTGTTTTCATCTCAGTCATTTCTGTAGGCTCCTGAAGAGATGAAGGGCCCCGGATGCTACCCCTGTGAGGCCAAGTGAACAAAGGGCCCTGGGAGTGTGGGAAAGGGACGGGGCCTGTGGGGCTGCCTTGCTACGAGGTACCTGGGCACTGGGACAGCTCCTGGACCTTCCTACTCTTGCTGGCTTTCTTCAGGGGTGACTCTCACCTCTCTTGGGGCCCAGACAGCAGGCTAATGGGCAGTGAGAGAAAGTGTGCCCAGAACCAGATGCTGCTGTCAGGGTGGAGGCCCAGCTTTTTCCACTGACGAGACATTCCTTCCACCACCGTTCATCCTCAGGCCCTAGTCTCTCCTCTCAGCTTTGAGCTCTGTTCTGAATGTGAAGCCCCTAAAGGAGAAATGGAATTGATCCTGGTCATCTTTATAGGGCAGCAACTGTGGATCACGGGTCATAGGTGAACCACTGGACAGTCTGCCTTTGGGTCAGGTAAGCCTGCTGGGCAGGGGCTGGGCAGGGTGCCTGGTGCATCCAGGATTGGTTGGTCCTTCAGCCTTAGATGAGACACATGAGGGCCCATGACATAATCACTGACTTGTGAAGGAATCTTCTAGACCACCATTTATTTGCCCCATCTCCTCCCTCCCTCCCTCCAATAAATGTGTTCCAAAGTTATGACCCTCTTGACTGTACTGCAGGGGTGGGGAACGTCCGGCCCATGGGCTGTGTACAGTCCACAGAATCATTCGGTCCGGCCCTGCCAAGGCCTCACCAAAGAGAAGCAGTTCCAGCCATCACATTAGGGGTGAGTTAATTAAATAGCTGACCAAATACAGCGGGCTAATTTTTAAGCTGATGATTTTGTATGGCCCAAGAATGTTATAAATCTCCAAATGGCAGAAAAAAGGTTCCCTACCTCTGCTACTGTGACAGTGTTGCCCTGGCCTGACACATTCAGTTGGCAGAGGGCACCTGGGTTCACAGTGCTCAATGGAAAAGACCCAAAACACTGGCAAATCTCGATCCTTAAATCTCATCTGCACCACCCTGTCAGAAATTGGGGTCTTGGACCAGGGCTGGGCTGATGTTCCTAAAGTCAGTGAATAGAGACTAATTAGGACACGACTGCATTAGTCACATTGGAGGTGACAATTGAACAGCATGTTTCTGGTTCGTGTCTGGGAGATCTCAGTTATGTGGAACTAATAGTGTGTGGCTTCCACGCAGCCACGTTGTTTGGGAGAGAAGGGGGACGCCTGAAATGAAAGCAGGTTCACTGTGGGCAGCATTGGTTTTGTCCCCAGCTCACCTTCTCACTCACTTTGCTAAATCACGAAGGGTGATACCAGGGCCGATGGCATAGTTCCCAGAGGGCCTCCTTCAGAAGTCCCTTTAGGGTCCACCACTGTTCCCAGGAGAATCATGAGAACTCCGAGAGCGCGGTGGGTGACATGGCACCTCAGTCCTTTCAGTAGGTGCGTGCTGAAAACCCCAGGGTTGATTAACTCCAGCCTCGGAGCGCATTTCCGTCAGGCTGCAGGGAGAACCAGAAAGACCAGGACAATCAAAACAGAGTGGCCACAAGGACAGGACGGAACGTTTTTCTCCACACATAATCCCAACCCAACTAGGGAATGTTGTTAAAATAGCTTCCCCTCTTGTCTCCCTAGGGCACTAACACAACAATTTTATTAACTAACCAGATTAGCATAGTGCATTTTATGGTCTGAACTGGAGCTGAAGATTCCTTTCTTCCTCACATGGCTTGTGAGATCCCTAAGTGGCATCTCCAGTGACAAGAGAATGCTCTTGCAGGTGTGCAGATGTCAGGCCGTGGGGGGCAATGGAAGGGACGGGGCTACTTGCACTTTCTCTTCTGTAACTGTGAGTGAAATCATGTGGAGCTCTGGCTCCCCAGCGGTAGGATGGCATGATGCCCAGGCACAGCGGCGACTTGTCCTCCCTCCTCTCGGCACCCCCGCAGCAAACCCGCAAACACAGGGCGGAGAGCCAGGCTCTGTGGAAGGACCCCAGAGGTGTATGGCCTGCGGCGTTTCTTCTATCTGCGCCGTCACCAGGAAACCCACCCGCGTCCCCGTCTGCCTTCTGAGGTACATAAGCAGGGCTTCGTTTTCCAAATGGCCCATGGTGTTGCATACATTGCCGTTGGTTATACCCCAGCCTGGCCGCCCTTCTCTAACTCTCTGGGTGACCCTGAACAAGTCCCCCTCCCTCTACCCATCATGGCACACTGAGCGTGTGCCAGGTACTGTGTAATGACACACTTGGCACGCGTTAGTTGTTAAATCTTCTCAGCATCCCCCTCTATTGTCTACGTGTTACAGGCAAGGAAACCGAGGCCCAGAGAAATGGCTTGATTTATCCTGGGCCACCCAGCTAGAAGGAAAGTGGCATAAGGAGTCCACGCTGGGCCGGCCTGGTCCCTGACCCCCACCCTGTACTCCGGGCTCCTTCCTCCCTGATTCAACAAGAGGCTGGGTTTGACCTGTGGCGGCATTAGCACAGCGAGCCTGAGAGGATGGCAAGGCCACCCTGCTCCTACCCCAACGGAAGCAGCACCATTTTTATCTGTTTTGAAATTTGGGGGTCAGTTTAAGAGTTTGCTTGAAAGAAGGGTTCTTTCTGTTAATAAAGAAAAGTTTGGAATCCACAGGATTTGACTTTGTAAGCTCCCTGACCTTCGGGGACTCGTTTTCTCGTACTGAGCCTCCTCTGCTCCAGTCTTCCTCCCATCTTAAAGAATTTAGGATAATTGTTTGGCACAGTCATTAGCATTAGCAGGAATAAGTATCGGGGAGAAACAAATCTGGCCAAAAATTACCTTGCGTCACAAAGAACGGG